ACTACACTCACAAAAACATAGGCAATAGATAATCTTACTTTACGAAAACCCAAAAGAAATAGCAGAGTAAATCCATATGCAATACCACTACCAACAACAAATAAAAAACAAACAAGAATAAACACTCAATAGTCCTTAATTTCCCACAATATTAATGGTCTTAACTCACCTATAAAGAGACACAGGATAGCACAATGGATATGAAGACAGAATCCATCCTTCTGATGCATACAAGAAACACACCTCAAATTCAATGACAGACATTACCTCAGAGTAAAGGGTTGGGATAAGATATTCCAATCAAATGGACCCAAGAAACAAGCTGAGTTAGCTATCCTAGTATCTAACAAGTTAGACTTCAAATTAATAAATTAAAAGAGATGAAGAAGATCGTTTCATATTAAAAGATTTAAACTTAGCTAGCTAAAAACACAAATGTGGCTCTGCTCCCCACCTCCCTAACAGGAAGAAATGCTCCTGACCCAGAGACTTGCTGACCAAAGCTCTCTGACTCAGTTCCTGGAATTTCCTTACCACCAGCAATTACTCCCCTACAAGGCCATAAGATAGCTAAAACGCCAGGAATTTCCAAATGTTTGCCCTCCCAGGAGGAGCCCATGAGGGGAACAGACTGACCATGAGTCAAGAAATGATAACTGAGTCCTTGAGAAACAAAGACCACTGTCTTAGGAAAGATTGACTAGTACACACTGAAGTCTGAACTGTTTACCCAACGGATGGGTCTGGAGACCATCTGGCTCCAAGATAAGGAACTAAAACCCATGACTCCAGTCATTAACTCAACGGTCCAAGGGTAGCACCCCCCTCCGAAGGCTTGTGTTTTTTTCCTTTAAAAATGCCTGTGCCAGAGAAAAGTGGCCTTTCTCTAGCCTGAGTGCTGAGAGGGCCCGTTTGTACAAATGCTTCCCATTCATTAATGCCTCTTGCTCTTTGCATCAACTGGATTGGACTTTGAGTTCTTGGGGAGCCGGCCGGATCGGGGGGACTCCTCACCTTGAGGGTCTTTCAATATTAATCACAGGAAAAGTCCATCACGAAGAAGTCTCAATTCTAAACATCTATGCCCCAAATACAAAGGCACCAACATTCATAAAAGAAACAGTATTAAAACTCAAATCACAAATAAGCCCGCACACAGTTATAGTGGGAGACTTCAACACCCCACTCTCACCACTGGACAGGACCACCAGACAGAAACTTAACAATGAGACAAAGAAACTAACAGAAGTTATGACCCAATTGGGATTAACAGACATCTAAAGAACTTTCCATCCAAAGACAAAAGAATATACCTTCTTTTCAGCATCACATGGAACCCTCTCAAAAATTGACCACATACACGGCAACATAGAAACCTCAATAGGTACAAAAAATTGGAATAACCCCCTTGTCATACCAGACCACCATGCTTTAAAGTTAGAATTCAAAAACAACACAAATTGCCGAAAACCTACCAACTCATGGAAATTGAACAACACACAATTGCACCATTCCTGGATCAAGGAAGAAATAAAGAAAGAAATTAAAGACTTCCTAGAAATCAATGAAAATGAAGACACAACATACCCAAACGTATGGGACACTTTGAAAACGGTACTAAGAGAAAAGTTCATAGCTCTAAGTGCTTACATGAAGAAACTAGAGAATAGTCGCACCGGAGAGTTGACATCACAGCTGAAAGCTCTAGAAAAAATGGAAGCAAATCCCCTCTGAGGAGTAGACAGGAAATAGTCAAACTGAGGGCAGAAATCAATAAAGTCAAAACAAAGAAAACAATTCAAAGAATCAATGTAACAAAGTGTTGGTTCTTGGAGAAAATCAACAAGATAGACATACCTTTATCCAAACTAACCAAAAGGCAGAGAGAGAACATGCAAATTAACAAAATCAGAAATGAAAAGGGGGATATAACAATGGACACTAAGAAAATCCAGAGAATCTTCAGGTCATACTTTGTAAATCTTTACTTCACAAAATTTGAAAATTTAAAGGAAATGGACAATTTTCTGGACAGATATCGCTTACCAAAATTGAATCTAGAACAGATAAGCAACTTAAACAGACCTATAACCTCTAAGGAAATAGAAGCAATCACCAAAAGTCTCCCAACCAAAAAAAGCGCAGGGCCAGATGGCTTCAGTGCAGAATTCTACCAGAAATTCAAAGAAGAGATAATACCAATACTCCTCAAATTGTTCCACACAATAGAAGCAGAAGATTCATCGCCAAACTCTTTTTATGAGGCTACAATTACGTTGGTACCCAAGCCACACAAAGACACAACTAAGAAAGAGAACTACAGACCAATATCCCTCATGAACATTGATGTAAAAAATACTAAATAAAATACTGCCAAATAGAATCCAAGAACATATCAGAAAAATCATCCACCATGGTCAAATAGGCTTCATCCCTGGGATACAGGGTTGGTTCAACATTCAAAAATCTATCAATGTAATGCACCAACTGAAGAAGAAAAACCACATGATCATCTCACTAGATGCTGAAAAAGCCTTTGACAAAATCCAACATCCTTTCATGATTAAGGTTCAGGAGAGATCAGGAATAATAGGAACATACCTGAACATAATAAAAACAATATACAGTAAGCCAACAGCCAACATCAAACTAAATGGGGAGAAACTCAAAACTATTCCTCTATAAACAGGAACAAGGCAAGGTTGTCCACTCTCTCCATATCTCTTCAATATTGTCCTTGAAATTCTAGCTAGAGCAACAAGACAACAAAAGGAGACCAAGGGGATACAAATTGGGAAGGAAGAAGTCAAACTCTCACTGTTTGCAGATGATATGATAGTCTACATAAGTGAACCGAAAAACTCTCCCAGGGAACTCCTACAGCTGATACACGCCTTCAGCAAAGTGGCAGGATACAAGATTAACAACAACAACAACAAAAAAAAAACTTTCTGTGAGTTTCTGGACACATTTGCTCATCACTCCCCCTTCTCTCTAACTGGATTCCAGTTCAGTTCAGTGTTTATCTGTGGGTGTCTGCTTCTCTTTCTATCAGCTACTGGTGAATGCTATAGAATGGCATATAATTCAATCATCAAATTCATTATCAGTGGAGGACATTTAAAACAGCCTCTACTATGTTGCTTAGATTGTTAGTTGGTGCCATCTTTGTAGATCTCCAGATATTTCCTTGGTGCTTGGTTTCTCTTTAAACCTATAATGTCTCATCAATTCTTCACAGACCTTGAAAGAACAATTATCAGCTTTATATGGAAAAACATAAGGCCCAGGATAGCCAAAATAACCCTGTAAAATAACAGAACTTCCAGAGGCATCACCATCCCTGACTTCAAGCTCTATTACAGAGCTATAGTCCTGAAAAGAGCTTGGTATTGGCACAAAAATAGACAGGTAGACCAATGGAATTGAGTTGAAAACGCTGGTATTAACCCACAAACTGAGGAACATCTGGTTTTTGACAAAGAAGCTAAATTTACATGATGGAATAAAAGAATGCATCTTTAACAAATGATGTTGGCATAACTGGATGCTGTCATGTAGAAGACTGCAGATAGGTCCATGTCTATCGCCATGAACAAAACTTAAGTCCAAATGTATCAAAGGCCTCAACATAAATTCAGTTACACTGAAACTATTAGAACACAAAGTGGGAAACACCCTTGAATTAATTGGTATAAGAGACCATTTTCTGATCATTACACCAGTAGCACAGGCATTGAGATGATAATTGATAAATAGGACCACCTAAAACTGAGAAGCTTCTGTAAGGCAAAGGACACAGGGAGCAAGACAAAACAACAATCCATTGACTGGGAAAAGATATTCACCAATCCCACATCTCACAGAGGGTTGATTTCCCAAATATACAAAGAATTCAAGAAGCTAGTCTCCAAAACACCAAATATAAAAACACCAATGACAGTTTATGCTGGAGAGGATGTGGGGAAAGAGGAATACTCCTACACTGCTGGTGGGAGTGCCAACTCTGTAGAACCACTTTAGAAATCTGTGTGGCGATTCCTCAGGAAAACTGGAATCAGTCTACCACAAGATCCAGCAATTCCACTCTTAGGCATATACCCAAAAGAAGCACATTCCTACAATAAGGACATCTGTTCAACTATATTCACAGGTGCATTATTTGTAATATCCAGAACTTGGAAGCAACCTAGATGCCCCTCAACTGGAGAATGGATAGAGAAAATGTATACATTTACACAACGGAGTACTACTCGGGGAAAAAAAAACACAATGGAATCTTGAAATTCGCAGGCAAGTGGATGGAACTAGAAGAAACCATTCTAAGCAATGTAACCCATTGGTTACATTGACAGGCATTGTATGTACTCACTCATATGTGGATTTTAGACATAGAGTAAAGGATTGCCAGCTTGCAGCCTAGGCTGCCAGAGAGTCTGGTAATCAGGAGGACCCTAAGAGAGACATACATGGTCCCCTGGAGAAGGGGAAAGTGAAAAGATCTCTTGAGCAAATTGGGACCATGGGGGGAGGGGCGAGGGAACTAGGAGAATGTGAAGGGGAGAAGAGGAGGGGTGCGGAAGACATGATGGGACAGGGAGGCTGAGCTGGGGGAAGAACAGAAGAGAGCAAGATAAGAGATAATATAATAAGTGGTAGACATATAAGTTCAAAGAGAAATGAGGCACTAGGGAAATGTCTGGAGAGCTACAAAGATGACACCAACTCACAATCTAAGCAACAGAGGAGAGGCTACATTAAATGCCCTCTCCTGATAATGAGATTGATGACTAATTCATATGCCACCTTATAGCCTTCATCAAGCAGCTGGTGGAAGTAGAAGCAGACACCCACAGCTAAACCTTGAAATGAAATCCAGATGCAGAGGACGACTGCTGACCTTAGCAAGGGAGAGCTCTTGGTCCCCAGACTGATAGCTGGGAAACCAGCATGGGACTGATCCAGACCCCCTGAATGTGGGTGTCAGTGAGGAGACCTTGGAAATCTATGGGGCCTCTTGTAGAGGATCAGTACTTATGGATATCATAGGAATGGACTTTAGGAGCCCAGCCCACATGGAGGGATACTTCCTGAGCCTAGACACAAGGAGGTTGGCCTAGACCCTATCCCAAAGAATATGACAGACTTTGAAGACCCCCTATGAAGGTCTCACCTGGGGAGCAGAAAGGGTATGGGATAGGTAGCGTGTTAGTGGGGGGGGGAGCAG